CTTACCTTCTAGGGTATAAACTTATGTCATTCTAACAAACAACCTGACAATGGGTTAAACACTTCCTTACCTTCTAGGGTATAAACTTATGTCATTCTAACAAACAACCTGACAATGGGTTAAACACTTCCTTACCTTCTAGGGTATAAAACTTATGTCATTCTAACAAACAACCTGACAATGGGTTAAACACTTCCTTACCTTCTAGGGTATAAAACTTATGTCATTCTAACAAACAACCTGACAATGGGTTAAACACTTCCTTACCTTCTAGGGTATAAACTTATGTCATTCTAACAAAACAACCTGACAATGGGTCAAACACTTCCTTACCTTCTAGGGTATAAACTTATGTCATTCTAACAAACAACTTGACAATGGGTCAAACACTTCCTTACCTTCTAGGGTATAAACTTATGTCATTCTAACAAACAACCATGATAGATTAAATTCACAAGTAATTAGGTACACATTTTGGTCTTCTTGTTCTCTTAACAGATGACCCTAACATTTATTTTTCTTTACATGATTACTTAAACTAATTCATAGTTACAGACAGCTTGTCAGTTCTTACCCCTTGATCTACGTCCAGGTCCACACCATTGGTCCTGTCTACCAGAATTTCCCAAAATGTTTGGTCCTTGGTCAATGCCACTCCACATATTGGTATCTTCCTCTTCACCCCATGTTCCACCAAGGTGTGTAGAAGGGGTGTGACCTAAGGGTAGGGAATTGTTGCGGCCAGGTGTAGCCATGCTGCCTCCGTTATTAGGATTCCGAATGTTATTTTCCCAAATCTCAGTGCCGCTGTTGGCTGATCCTTCCCAAACAGAGCTGTCAGTTTCTTTGGGACTGGAGTTTGGATCATCCCATGATGAGTCTTGATTGATAACCTAGTTAGTAAACTTTATTACAACCTTCCATCTCAAATAGAATAAATCTAACCTATCAATCACCTGCAAACTAACTCTAATAATAAGTTCTATTTCTGAATACCTTATGATAAAAACAACACAGAAGTTTCAATGTATAAAATAATTGAAATGTTTGTAAGGTATATGCCAAACAACAACAGATTATGGAAGGGCTACAAGTCTAAATAATCTTAGTGTCATAGTTTGAAGTCCCACCCTATTAGTTTTGACAACAGCTGCTGCTATCAAAAGGAGTAATAATAAGTTACCCAATTAGGTATGAAAACTACATCACACTAACCTATAATCAGAACAGATAATAAGTTGCTCATTTAACTATGACAACCACAGACCACTAGCCTATCACCAGGACTGCTAACAAGTTATTCATTTTTACTATGACAACCACAGCACAGTAGCCTATCATCAGGACTAATAATAAATTATCCAATTGGCTATAACAACCACAGCTCACTAGCCTTAACATTAAGCCACATCATCAGGACTGATAATAAGCTACCCATGATGTTAGGAAAACACAAGGGTTCCAAATATCAATTATAAACAACAATAAGAAACCTTATAATCCTAGCATTTTTGAAATGTAGACCCTTCTTCATCAAGAGTAAACTGGGAGTAATTAAGTTAAGTAAAGTAATAAAAAGTGGAGTGACATCATGTTTATTCAAGGTACATTACCATGACAACCAAGAAGTGCTTTGACTAGCTTTCAAATTAATGTTTCAGGTGAGATTAATTTCTGTTGTACAGTACAACAAAAAACAGTAACATTAGATATGAAAATATTAGAAAGGTTTTGTTTTCAAAATTTATCTTCAAAGGAAATTACAATGGGTACTATTAAAGTAAAATAAAGATTTGATATGAAAATGGAATAGCAAGAAAATGTTAAGTGGAAGAACTAAAAAAGGTTAAACATGGAAAATTATCATAAATAAATAAACAACTGTTAAAAAAGATTACAGGTAAAAATGAAGAATTTACAGAAATGGAGAGAAAAAATCACACAACAAACAATTTAATGGTGGAAGTTCTGATTTCATACTATAGGTGTACTTCATCAGAATAAATGGAATTTAAGGCAGTATTGTAACATTTCTCTAGTTCTTTTAAATTACTAGGTGAAAATAAGGCCAAATTAAGTCCGTAACAATAACAAATTAGTTTATTTCTTCTTGTACACTGTTGCAGCTAAGTTTACAAATGACATTCAAATGGAAATACCTCACTAATAATATTATGTAAAAGTAATCTTACTTGTACAATTTCATGGCTAATGTATTGAGTAACTGAATATATACAATAACACTAATTCAAATACTTCACTCAATGACTGGCACTACCAACTGACAACACTGACTGACCTTCAGTTCTGACTAAATACTTCACTAATCCTCATATTTATAATGTAGACTTGTTTCTAGGTGCTTCACAAAGTTACTAGAAACTGACTGACCTTCAGTTCTGACTAAATGCTTCACTAATCCTCATATTTATAATGTAGACTTGTTTCTAGGTGCTTCACAAAGTTACTAGATTTTGGTGACATAACCTCAAACATTCTAGGCCTATTTCCATAAACGTACTTGATCTTAACATTGCGCATCCTCTAGCAAACATCCATATTAAAACACTGAAAAATATAACCCACAATAGTAGCAATCTGATAGGCTTTTTCCATTTCTCTCTCAGCTTTAGCTCTGAAAAAGTTTGATGCTATGAGAGTCATGTCATTATTAGAATGAATGGACTGGTTAAAATGTTGATCAACAGGGAGGTCTTTTTTTGTGTTAACAGAAGATTTGTGATTGTTGAAATGCTCTCTCAGATTCCTTTAGGTCTGTCCTACATACTGGATTGCATTTGTTATGCTGTATGAGATAAATGGTGTTGTGCAAGTGATTTCTTTAGTAATCTAAGAGTGTTTGATCATGTTTTCCAGAAAAGAGATGGTAGTTTTTATTAACTTGTGATTCAGACAACAAGCTTATTACACAGATGACAACCATTCTGATGTTGTTGCATTTCACTTTTTCATGAACAAGGATATCTTTAAGACTTCTGCAACAAGACAGTGGAAATTTCAGGAAACATCTATCTGAATTGGGCAGCTGAGTTATCTGGAGACACTGATGAGATGTGGAAAATGTTTAAATATTCAAGGTAAACATATTCCTTATAGAAATAAAAGTGTAGCTGCAAGTAAAAAACTGGGTATAAAAAAGCATAATAAATTTAAGAAATTTATATTGACTGGTATGACAGGAGATTTAGATGATAAGAGATGATCAAGAAAGTTGGTGAAACAGGAAATTAGGACTTCAAAAAGGGTGTATGAGAAAATGTAAATATTAACAGTAAGGATTTCTTTAAATATATTAAGGATAAACAAAATGTTAGGATGGGGGTAGGACATTTGAGGGATGATAAAGGAAGGCCAGTATCTGATAATTATGAGATGGCTGGGTTATTAATTTTGCTTTTTCTTCAGTTTTTACTGATGAAGATTTAAGTAGTATTCCACATCTTGAACAGTTAATAATTGGAAACATGACTGAACAAGATGACTGCATTAATTCTGAGCTGGTTAAGAAAAAATTGGAAATTTTAAAAAACGATAAGGCTCCTGGGCCCAATAATATTTCCCCAAGGGTTTTGAAGGAGGTTAAAGATTGTATATGTGAGCCACTTACTATTTTTTGTCAGTCCTTCAACAGTGGGCAGGTACCAGAGGATTGGAAGTTAGCTAATGTAACTCCTCTTTTCAAGGGAGGTGATACAAATTGTCCCAGTAATTATAGACCCATTAGTCTTACATCAGTTGTGGGAAAAGTTTTGGAAAGTCTGTTAAAAGATGCTTTGCAATGTCATTTAAAAAAGTTTAGACTTTTATTGGATATTCAACATGGTTTAACTAAGGGAAAATCTTGCCTTACAAATCTTTGACATTTTTTGAAAAGGCTACTGCTTACGTAGATGAGGGTAAGGGTGTAGATTTGGTGTATCTGAATTTTCAGAAAGCATTTGACATGGTGCTACATGAAAGGTTTGTAGAAAAATTAACTCTAAAGGTGTGGGAGATAAATTAGCAAATTGGATAGAAGAGTGGCTGGATGGAAGAATGCAGAGGGCTGTTACAAATGGAGTTCAGTCAAACTGGATTAATATCATAAGTGGGGTACCTCAGGGCTCAGTCTTAGGTTCTTTGCTCTTTTTGGTTTACATCAATGACATAGATGAAGGAATAGTCAATAAATTACTTAAATTAGCAGATGATATTAATGTCTTGGA